TTAGGGTTTAGCGGTTTAGGGCTTAAGGAAAAGATAGTTCGAGACCAAAGCTAGCTATGGTATGCTACACTCGCACGCCTTGCTCTGACTGTACCGGCCACTAATGCCCAAACCCTAAACCCTAATCCCAAAAACCCTAAACCCTAAACCCTATTCCCAAAAACCCTAAACGCCAAACCCTAAACCCCTAATCCACGCACCCTCAACTTCCCAAACTCCTCTGCTAGAAGACCCGAGGCCTGAACCCTGCACGCCCTACATTCTAAACTCCTCAACCCAGAAATATACACTTCAAACCCTGAACCTGAGCCCCTGTAGCCCGAAGCCCCAAATCCGAAACACCTGAAACCCCTCTAAAACCCCCTAAGCCCTACGGCTTAGGGTTTGATGTTTAGGGGCTCCAAAGCCTATACCCTGCACACTAAACTCCCCACCTTAAACCCGACATCCCATGCCCTAAACCAAAAACACTAAACCCTAAACCCTAAACCCAAAACACTAAATCCTAAATCCTAAACCCTAAACCCTAAACCCTAAACCCTAAACCCCTAAACCCTAAACCCGACATCCTCTTCAACAAAAATGCCAAGCATCCAGACCGAGAGCCTCGAAGTACTCTTTCACTGCGGGGGTGTTGATCTTCTCCTGGCTTGGGAGAAAGCCCGAGGGTTTAGGGTAGCCCTAGGCTATTAGGGTTTAGGGTTTAGGGTTTAAGGTTTAGGGTTTAAGGTTTAGGGTTTAGGTTTCAGGGTTTAGGGTTTGGGTTTCGGGTAGCCCTACCTGTAACCGAAAACACCTACCTTTTTTCGGAGCTATAGTATAGAAACCATAGTAAGGAACCTTAAAACGGTAGGTCTTTCCGGCTACAGGTAGGGTATAGGGTTTAGGGTTTAGGGTTTAGGGTTTAGGGTTTAGGTTAATGTAGGAACCTGCACCGAATCCGAATACGAATATTTTGAGCTATAGGATCAGGGTTTCCTGGTCAGGTTCCTACGTTAGGGTTTAGGGTTCCTTGCAAGGGGTCTATGAGGGCTATTACATGAGGGTTTTGTGCAGAGACCGAAAAAAAAAACAGAGTTGGGACTAGGTTTTGGGTCTAGGGTCTAGTGTTTGGGGTTTAGGGTCTAGTATACGATAGCTATGGCAAGGAACCCTAAACCCGAAACCCTAAACCCCCTAAACCCTAATTAAACCCTAAACCCTAAACCCTAAACCCCTAAGCCCTAAACCCTAAACCCCTAAACCCTAAACCCTAAACCCACAGTGCTCCT